AGAGACGGGGGGGGGGGAGAGAAAGAGAGAGGATCCATTTGCTATCGCAAATGTTTGCAATGACTGAAGCCAGGAGCCAAGAATTTCATTCTAGTTTTCCATGTGGATGCAGGGCCCCAAAGTCTTGGGCCATCTTTTGCTGCTTTCCTAAGCCCATTAACAGGAAGTTGGATTTGAGGTGGAGTAGCTGGAACTCAAACCTGCACCCATATGGAATGCCAGCTGTGGCTAGAGGCATAACCTACTACACCATGGCACTGGTCCAGTATGTTCTTTAAATGACCATTCATTTGGCAAGTGTGCCACCATTGCTAACTTGAACACAGGGAGTCCAATGGTGTGGACAGTGGCCTATTTGACATGGATTCCAGAGAGGATAGGGAAAGAGGAGTGACAGTGAGGGGAAAGAACTCCAGGTGTTATACGTGGGAGGGGCATACTCACATGGTGGAAGGGAGAAGGAGGCTTTGGTGAAGAAGGATGATTCTAAGCAAACATAGACCAGTTAGATACTCCAACAGCGAGGGAAAATACGTGATGGGTATAGCGTGGACCATTGCACGATGGGTGGGATCCAGGGCATAAGATAAGTGTCTGAATGAGAACTGCAGGTGTTTGCTCATTGTTACAGTGGAGAGAGTGAATAGGACAGGATGGTCAATAGGGTGATGACCTGTTGCCGTGTCTCTTTTCTGATACACCTGTTTTCCCAATGAGAGAAGAAGCAGTGTGTCATCGGGGGAAAAAGTAAAGGCAACAGGTGTTAGAGGCTTGGGAAGAAGTAAGAAGTTGGTGGTTATCATAGAAACAGCCAGAGTAAACTGACTAAACAAAACAGGTAGAATTCCTACAAGCACTGAAGACCCACTGGAGGCTTATTGCTGTGAGTTTTAAGAGAGACACTCAGCTCAAATGTTAATTGCCTAAATTGTATTGTAGTGCACTTGGCTGCTTGAGTGTGGCAGAGGTGTAGTGTTAACCACACTGGAAAGTCTTTCTTCCCCAGGAATATTCATAGTGAAGCTGACGAAGGGATCGAAGATGATACAGGTGCAGCCCATTCTAACCAGAAGGGACAGGGATGGCGTGGAGGACCCAGGGGAAGCGAGGGATGGTTGGGCACAGAGAACCCTGCAAAGACAAAAATGACACCAGAGGAGGAGAGCTGGGGATGTGTCCAGTTGCTGATAAAGACCAGGCATAAGGTGATGTCATAATGCCAGGAGCTGAGGAAGGAGTGGAGTGAATGACAAGACAGGCAGTCAGGCTGCATGGCAGCCGGGACCAGGCTGCAGGGGAGAAAAACCACGGAAAAGTTCTTCTTTGAGTGTGGGGTTTATAACTTCTTCATGATTATTGTCAAACTCCCAAAAGCTCAGTCTTGGAGTCAATCCCTGCCCCAAGTAACACCAAGTAACAGGGACTACTTTATATTATTTTAAAATTTTATATGAGAGTCACAGAACCACAGGCAGTCAGGGATCACACACACTATTTCACTCGCCCAAATCCTACATACGCCAGGACTGGGCCAAGTCCAAGCCAGGAGCCAGGGTGTCAATTCAGGTCTTTCCTGTCGATGTCAAAGACTCTGTCACTTGAGCCATCACCACCGCCTACTCTGCAGAGTAAGCAGAGACTCTGGACACAGCCCTTTGTGGGCACAGACTGTACATTTCCTGGCTGACCTTCCATGTGGCGCCCTCAGTTCCTGCCCTGTGACTGCATATTTTGTTATGGTCAAATAGTCATACTGGAGGATCTTGGGAACATCCCTCTGAGGCACCTGCTTGGCCCACAGTTGTCCTTGGGATCCCGTTATTGGGTAATTGAAATTTGGGCCTTTTTCTCCAATCTCTAAGCAGTTGGCCACATATTAGATATTTAAGATTAGAAGAGCTGTTCAGTGTCAAGAATTAGGATGAAAGTCCTGTATATGGCTTTGTAAGAAGTACTTATGGGCATGTAAAGCGAGGCAAGATAAATATTCCCTTTATGCTAAACACTCAAGACATTTCAGACATAAAGCTTGTAAACACAAAGGAAATTCATAATTAAGTTGACTTTCTTCATTTTGATGTTGTTTTTATTTACTTGAAAGATGGAATTAGAGAGGGGAGGAGAGAAAGAAATCTTTCATCTGCTGGCCTCGATGACCAGGCTGGCCAGGCAGAAGCCAGGAGCCAGGAGCCAGGAGCCAGGAGCATCTTCCAGGTCTTCCATGTGGGTAACAGGGACCAGATCTTCCTGCTATTCCCAGGCCATTAATAGGGAGCTGGATCATAAATTAAGTGTCTGGAACATGAACCAGTGTACACATGGGATGCCAGCATTGCAAGCAGTGGCCTTGCCTGATATTCCACACCAGCATCCTTGATATAGGTTTTGATGGTTATGAGTTCTTGTAGCTTGATCATGTCTGACTTCGTATTGGGTGATTTTTAGCATCACATGCAATTTATAGATTCTGACTCCCCATCCCACAAGATCATACATTCTATGATTCTCTCTGGCTTCATTCTTTGGCATTTTCCGCTGGTCCTCAAACTCCATCAGCCTTTCAGTTCTACAGATATATTTGGCTCTTGGTCCATTGCAGGATGTCAGTCACTTTACTTTCTGCCATTCATGCTACCCTCCCCCAACACCAGTTTCCACCCTAACATCCACCTGGCCTTTGCATCTGGCATCCTTCTTCCCTCACCTCGAACTTGAGCCTTCCCCACGGATCCTTCCCTGCCATTTCCCATTTCCCTTCTCTTGGGTTGACAAATATGTACTGCCATTGCGCTCTGTGGTTCTTTCCTTAAAGCCTTTATGATATCTGAAAATAAGAGTGCATCTATCGGTTTAATGAGTTTCAATACACTAAACTAGGAGGGCAGCAAAGTAGTTATTTATTGTATGCTTAGTGTAGTGTCTTCTACATAGTAGATGCATTTGCTGAATGAGTGAATGAAAACTTGAATAAACCTACCCACAGTGAGATAAACAGGCGATTTGAGGTTCAGGAGATTGGCGTATACAGAACTCTAAAGGAACTGCTGTTCAAAGTCTGAGTGCATGTGTAACAAAATGTTGAAACCCGGGCTTAGTGTTTTTTTTTAAAAAACCTAGCTATGTGTGAGTGGGAGGTAAACTTGCATTTTTATGTGAAAAAGTCTCATTCATGGTTTTCATGTTGGTCTTGTGAGTGTGCTGCTAATTGTGATAATAGGCATGTTGCTTACACAGGCCTTGACTTAGCAGAGCTCTCTAACCGTGCTTGAAGACATAGTTCATGATGTGCAGCTGACCACTCAATAGGGCCATTGTGAAGGGAAACCAAAGGCCTGTGTGGGCTGAAATCTTCTTGAGACAGTTTCCCTATTTCTAAGCTGCGATGCTATAGTGTTTTATAAGTTAGGTATGTTAACAAATTATCCTTTCAAAAACCATCACACAGTGAGGGAATAAGCTTAACACTTAAGGACTAGCATATTACATAGATTTTCTTAAAAAATGTTTCTATGAAAATTTTTAAATTTCGCATTATTTGCCTTCAGTTTGACTGTAAAATAGTTTTGTATTTGCAAAACATTTTTAATTCTACAGATTTTAAAGTTCAGAATTTTAAAATAGATATCTCTTTGTTTTAGAAATACATGTAGGAAAGTGTTTCATCATTTTGACTGTAATTTGACCTTACCTGGGAAAGAAAGAGAGGTAGAAAGGAAGTTTTGCGTTTGTGTTACTGGCTTTAATAGTTCTTAGTGTTTATTGAAAACGTTAATTGGGGAACTTCTTTATTTTTTTTTTCTTTTTTTTTTTTTATTGTTGCTTACATTGTATTATGTAGTACAGTTTTATAGGCGCTGGGGATTCCCCCCACCCCTCCCATACCCCTCCCCCCATGGTGGATTCCTCCACCTTGTTGCATAACCATAGTTCAAGTTCAGTTGAGATTCATTGCTTGCAAACACATGCCTAGCATAAAGTTCAGCGTCTTATTGTCCAGATAAGTTCAGTGGCCTCTTGGGGAGACCTTCTATGGTCTGAAGATAGGTCTAACAGAGTAAAGATCCGGTCAGTTAAAAGCCCCAACAAGGCCTCAGTATCAATATACAACATTATGGAATTAATTGACATAAGCAATAGCAGTTGAGAACAGAATAAACAAATGGGACCTCATCAAACTAAGAAGCTTCTGTACAGCAAGGGAAACAATCAACAAAGTAAAAAAGCAACCCACAGAGTGGGAGAAGATCTTTGCACACGATATAGGCGATAGGGGGCTAATTTCCAGGATATACAAAGAACTTCAAAACAACCAAAAAACCAAAACGAACAAGCCACTCAAGAAATGGGCACGGGAAATGGGCAAACATTTCACAAAGGAACAAGTCCAAATGGCAAACAAACATATGAAAAAATGTTCCAGCTCCCTAGCAATAAGGGAAATCCAAATTAAAACATCGATGAGGTACCACCTAACACCAGCAAGATTGGCCCACATAAACAAGAACACCAACGACGCTTGCTGGCGAGGATGCGGGGAAAAGGGAACCCTACTCCACTGCTGGTGGAGCTGCAAATTGGTACAGCCTCTATGGGGAACTTCTTTATTACACCCTTTCCACTTTTGAGAAAAGAATCCTTCCAAATTTTATTTTGGATTACATTGATTCAGCAAAACCTTTCTTGTGGACATTTCACAGTTTCCACAGACAAAATTTCTTGACTTTTCCCCCATTGTCTTTCTGTGTGCATTTGAGAGTAACCCGTGCACAAAGCAAGCCCTGGCTGGCCTCATGCCCTGCCTACCCTGTCTGCCTTGCCAACATGCAGGGGATGAGGCCAACCGGGACCCTCGGTGCCTGCAGCTGCATTCTGAAACCGCCAATCAGGGCTGGGAGACCAAGGTGTTCTGCAATGGAGTGGTTAGGAACCAAAAGTGTAATTTGCTTTGCTGTTGCCATCCAGACCTATTGAATTTTGAACCCCTGAACACTCTCTTCTAGCTGCTTTCGAAATCTATTGAACAACTGAAGGCACCAGGTGGCAGTCACCTTGAAGAAGCCGAGGAAGAGCTTCAGGGGGACCAGGCGATGCAGGAAGACAGAGCACCCTCTAGTGGCAACAGCGCTAGGAGCGACAGCAGTGCTTGTGTGGATGACACACTGGGACAAGTTGGGGCTGTGAAGGTCAAGGAGGAACCAGTGGACAGTGACGAAGATGCTCAGATCCAGGAAATGGAATCTGGGGAGCAGGCTGCTTTTATGCAACAGGTAATAGGCAAAGATTTAGCTCCAGGATTTGTCATTAAAGTCATTATCTGAACGTGAAATGCACTGTAACATTTTGGTCAATGGATATCATTTCTTCTCAGTTTCTGTCTCTGGGTGATTCTCTTTTCTAACTCACGCAGGTAAATGTGTATCTCTCTAGAGATCTCTTCATAGACTGACCTCTGTGTAGACAGCAAGGGTTCTCTGAAACTCCTCTGATAAAGAATTACCTGTTACATTCAAATTGTGCTACGCCATCGCCAGACCACAAATAGGCTTTCCGTTCATCTCCAAGCGATCTCTATCAGTGAGCGCTAAGCTGTCATTACCTTCACTGCTGTCTTGAGTTCATCTGTTGAGGTCGATGACTACTGGAGAGTGTCTCCCAGGCTCACTGGTGAAGCATTCTGTGGGGTTTTGCGTTTTTCCAAACATGTAGATTTCAGCATTCACATCACTGTACAGAATGCATCATAGTGCAGTCCAAAACGCTGTCCAAGGCAGTCTGCACCTTTCTCCCCAACCCCACCTCACCTCCACCTGTCTCTCTTTTTTTTTTTTCTGTTGTTGTTAGAAATGTTCTGCTCACCGTGCCAGCCGTCCGCGGTTATTGTGTAGATTGCAGCTGAAAACATTAGGAATACAGCTGGTTTGATCTATGTAGATGCATACTGCAGCACTATTTTAAATAGTTCATGCTGTCTCACGTGGCACCGCTCATTTGACTTAGCATTGTGTATTTTCGTTCCCTGTCTACTGAGAGAAAACGATCAGACGAAGCGGCTGCAAGCTTAGGGTCCAATGAGCTGCTGCGTCACAGCCACCATTGCAGAAAACAGAGCGATGGTTTGATTATTATCTGACGTCAAGTTCCATTGGGAAAGAAGGTGTGTAACAGTTTGATAGTCATTATGGCTAGACTCTATGACATATGATTCCATAATGATCTGATATGAACATCCCCTGCTGACAACGAATGAGGCACGGGGGGTTTCCCTAAAGCGTTTGCTTGTACAGCACGCACCTTCCGGAGGATAATGTGCTCCGAGGCCACTGCCTCCGCACACCTTTAAAGGCCGCACAAGACAGAGTTGACTTTCGTCAGGGCTTGGTCAGCTTCCTGCTGGTCTCCCACAGAAAACCGGGTCTGTGAGGCTGCACCGGAAATGCCTTGTGGAAACAGGAAGTTCAAGTGATTCATGTACTGAGGAATGTAGGGGAGGGGGGGGAAGCCAAGGATAGTGTTTTCCTCTTTCTGTTTTTAAAGGGCAGTCTATGAATTGATTTATTGTCTAAGAAAATAACACCCCAAGTAGGGAAATTGTTGCGGAAGCTTTTCACTGGAATGTTTCCTTCATATTCCCTTTTGATATGTTTACCTTGTTTTATACGTTTACTTTTGTTAAGCTAGTTAAAGGTTCCTTGTATTAAGAGCCCCTTAATATGGATAATCCAAATCGACCTAGAATCTTTGTGAGGTTTTTTTTTCTATTAAAATATTTATATTTCTAAATCTGAGGTATTTAAAGGTATAGTATCCTGTTTCAAAGGAGATATAGCAGTTTTGCCAAATGTAGACCTTGTTCCACTGTATGTTATCGGCTCGTGTTGTTTACATTTTGCTGTGATATTTAAAAGTATCTCTTTAAAAATGTGACTGCGGAAGATACATTATCCTTTTTTAAAAAAAAGTCTCCATTCAAATTAAAATAACTAGAATTTAGAAAGTTTAAAACTTTTCCACACAATGAAAGTCCTTCTGATAATTTGCCAAGTAGCTGGAACAGCCAACTTGCCCAATCACCATTAATATTTTAATATTTTCCTTCCTATTAAAATGTCTTCTTGTCAGTGGTTTTGCATTAAAAACATGGCATGCCTGAGATAAAATTGTATATTTTCTCCATCTCATAAATATTCATTTTCTCTGAAGTCTTTTTTTCAATCTCATAAAAAAGGGATAGTGCATCTTTTAAAATACATTTTATTTGGGGAGGAACATGTTGCTGAGCAGACTTTTGTATCATATTACTTCAAAGATATGTAATCACAAACAAGAACAACCTATTTTTTATAATGTCATTTGAGAGAGCTTCATCAGTTGAATTGGTGGACGTTAATTGTTTGAATTTGACAGACTTTGAATTTAATCAAGAAACTGCCTGGAGCCAGTGTAAAGGAAAGCTGGGCTTGACGAATCTTAGAACTAATTGATTAATGTATCTTTTCAGATCTACTGTATTTATTATAATTTACACCCTCGATGGTGATCTCTTGTTCTGTGTTGTAAATATATTGTTTGTATGTTTCCCTTCTTGACTTCTGTTATAAGTCTCTTCCTTTCTCAAATAAAGTTTTTTTTAAAAGATCCCCTTTCATATATTTGGCTTTGTGTAAATAAACGTGAAACATTTAATCGAATTTTAAGCATGTGCAATAGGTCTCACACACAAAAGGGTATTGCCATTCTTTGTTGAAATGAGAAAATAAAGTTCTTTTGAGAAGTTCCTTCTAATAACATTAAAATAATAAGTCCTACAAGCTAAACTGTTTATGTCAGCCATTAGCAAATAGCAAGCACACGTAAAATTTGATTTTCCTTTTATCTAGTGTGACCTTTTCCATGACATGTTATCATCCTTGGTATTATTAAAAATGTTAAATTCTAAAAATAAAACTTGATATAAATAGTTTCAGTCCCTAGTTTTGCTCAGTTATTTTTTCTAAAAATAATTAGACCAATCCCTTAAATATAACAAGCACTCAATATGTGTTAAAATGAATAATTTTCCAAGAGTCGTAATAATTATGTCTATGACGATGTAATCTGGAGCAACATGGAGAAAGTGGCAGTGTATAAATTAAAAGAGCAAGTAGCAGTTAAATGCTTGCCCCTCTATGGTAATGTTTTGTAATACTAGTCAGAAGAATAAGGAGGCTAAGTCGGGCACAGATAGGGCCCCATTCTTGTCACATGAGCCCTTAATACTTGGTTCCTCTCCTCATCTCTTGCTACCAAAATGTACCAGTCAGAATTTCATAATGGGTTACTTGATATTCAGTTCAGGAGGTTAATGCAATTTTTAAAAAACTATAATTAGTTTGGCATAATCACTAATAATATCATAAAAGTTGATTATTCTAAGGCATGAAAGTATTGCATTGCATCATTATTGACCATGCCAAATGAGCTTTCTTTCCATGGTGCCATAAATGTGGTAAATTCGACCAGAATTCTGGTAATTGCTTTCATTCTAGTAAGAATTCCAAAGTTTGGGCTGTAACAACTACAAGATTAACTCACTACTAGATCCTAAAGTAAAAAATTAAAGGCAGCAGTTGAATAAAGGTTTTATAGTATATATCTAACGTCTGAATTGTTAATATTAATAATAATAACAACCTTCAGTTAAGGTTAGAAACCCTTTTTTGGAAAAGTAGCTTCTGCCAGGGCTTAGAATAGGTAGCTATTGGATTTCTGAAACTGTAGCCAGGAATTGAACTCAGGCACTCTGAAGTGGGATGTGGACTATTTTAACATGGTGTTTCTTTGTGGACTATGTAGTAACTGACACGTTTTATAGTAAATACTACAGCAGCTATGAGTCTGTGGGGATACAATTGAGTACTTGCAATAGTGATTTAATTGAATTCTAAGTCATAACCAGTCAAAATCAAGGTTGGAGGTGAAAGAGAAGGAGTTAGAACTATCATTCACTTAATTTTTTAAAAATATGATTACTCTATGTCGGTTTCGTGGGGAGCATATAAGGGGACAAAGAATCTAGGCAAATATAAAGGATATTGGGATGTGACTTTTCAGTCCAGGTAAGAATGAGTGAATTTAGTCTTCAAAAGGTTTGTATGCTCATCACTACATCTTTTCTAGTAGCTTCTTTGAAGTTTACACACTTTTAAACAATGCAGATCATTTTAATTTGCAGAAAGGTGTTCAAGTAGGACAAATGTTCAGTGCACCAGGTTGGGTTGCAAGCACTCCTTATCCGTGAACTCATTTAGTCCCCACAGCAAACATATGGGATTCAGTATATTGCTATTTTGTTGTAGACATGACTGCATTGGAGCAACAAGGGGTTCATGTCAAGGCCCCCCAGTTGGTATTAGTCTAACTGTAGCAGAACCCAGACATGCTGGCCCCAGACCCCTGGTTCTCAGTCCTTACCAACCAAACCTTACTGGGTGTGGACAAAGATTGTGTCTACATGCAGATAGATTTCCTTCTGTGCAGTTCATCCACTTCTGCCACTGCTTGCTCCCATTTCCTCCACCTTCCCATCATTTTCACTCTCTCCCACAACATGTGGGAGATTGCTAATTTCTTTTGATAAATCTCAAGATGTAGGATCTTTTTTTCCCTGATCCGTAGATAAGGGTTCAAATTCTTGAATACACTATACTCAAACGTTTTTAATCATGAGTATGTATGAGTTTCTTATTTCTGTTTGCAGCAAGTCTTAGGATGGAGATGAACATTCCCCCTGTGGGGAATGATTTTGGGGGGGAGGAATGTGGCTGGATTTAAAGAGATAGCAGCTACTCCTTGCCTTTTTTCTTATCTTATTCCTCCATCAAGGCAGAACATCCAGTTTCTAAACATGCAGGATTCTATCTGTTCAGAATTTTTTCAACCCAGGATAATCTGCTCGATAGTCATTCTGAAATCAGTCTATTCAAAATGTTGCAACAGGAAACACAGTGACAGGCCTTGAGTTCAAGACTTCCTGGATGGTTTTGCAAGGTTCATGAACATCCTCCTGAGGAAAAGTCTAGATAGTCGCAAAGATTCTGGGTTGGTGGTTCTCCCAGAACCTCAGGAATCTACATGCTCTCAAGTGCTTTGGGCGGCTCTGGTTCAGAAATAGGGCTTTGTATCATATTTCCTATTTCTGAGAAGAATGTTCTTGGGGATCACATTGAATCTGTGTATTACTTTTGGTATATGGAGATCTTGATGCTGTTGATTCTGCTGATCCAGGAACATGGTAAGTTTCTCTTCTTCTTCTAATCCTTTTTTTTTTTTTTTGTGACTTTCATCATAGAGATCTTCCACGATTATGTTTAGGTTAGTTCCAAGTTAGTTTCTTCTCTGCTATTTTAAAGGGGATTGTACTTATGATTCCTTTCTCAACCATGGAGTCATTTGTGTGTAGTAGGGCCATTGGTTCATGTTCATTAGATTTTTATCCTGCTACTCTGCCAAATTCTCTTATGAGTTCCAAAAGTCTTTTGATTGGATCTTTTGGTTCTGTGTAGTAATTGCATCATCTGCAAACAGGTATAATTTTAATTACTCAGTTCCTGTTTGAATTCTTGTAATTTGTTTTTCTTGTCTTCAATAACTCTGGCAAGAACTCCAAACACTATATTGAATATCAGTGGTGAAAGCAGACATCCTTGTCTAGTTCCGAATCTTAGTGGAAAAGCTTCCAGTCTTTCCCCATTTAATATGATGCTGGTGTTGGTGTTTTTCATATATTGCTTTGATTGTGTTACAGAATGTTCTTTTTATGCTTATTTTACTCAAGGCTTTTTGCAAGAAATGGTGTTGGATTTTATCAAAAGCCTGCTCTACATCTATTGAGATGATCATATGGTTTTCATTTTTCAATTTGTTGATGTAGTGAATCACATATATTGTGTTGCAAATGTTATACTGTCTCTGCATTCCAGGGGTGAATCCCACCTGGACTGAGGATCTTTGAGTTGAGGATCTTTGCATGTTTGTTCATTAAGGATATCATTCTGTAGTTCTCTTTTTCTGCTGTGTCTCTATCTGTCTTTGGTGTGAAGATGATATTGGCTTCTTAGAAGAGTTTGGAAGGATTTCTTCCTTGTCTATGGTTTGAAATAGCTCCTGGAGGATTGGGATAAGTTCTTGAAATATTAGGTAGAATTCTGCAGTGAAGCCATCTGGTCCAGGGCTTTTCTTGGTTGGGAGGCCTTGATTACCAGTTTGATCTTAGTCCTTGTTATAGGTCTGTTTAGAATATTAACTGCCTCATGATTCAACTTTGGTAGATTGTATGTGCCCAAAAATCTATTCATCTCTTCTAGGTCTTCTGATTTGTTGGCATGTAGTTAAATGTAATAGTTCCTAATACTTATATTTGTGTCTGAGTATCTGTTGTTACATTTCCTTTCTCATCTCTGATGCTATTGATTCATATTCTCTCCCTCCTTTTTTGATTAGTTGGGCAAGTGGGGAATATATTATGTTGTATTTTATGTTGATTTTCTCAAAGAACCAGCTCTTTGATTCATTGATCTTAAGTATTGTTCTTTTGGTCTCTATGTGGTTTATTTCCTCACTTATTTTGGTTATTTCTTTTTTCCTACTAATCTTGGGATTGCTTTGCTGTTGTTTTTCCAACTCCTTCAAATGAACAGTTAGCTTGCTTGCTTATTTATTTATTTGTTTGTTTATTTATTTTCATTTTTTCAGTGACACATTGGTCATTCAGTAACATGTCATTTAACCTCATGTTGTAAATACTCTGTTTTTATTCCTGTTGTTGATTTTGTTTTATGGCTTTTCATTTAAGGGGATATTTAGTAACTGTAATAGACAATATCATGTCCAGATGTGAAGATAAAATGCAGTATGAATCTCTACTTCCAAGTCAAAGGTGGACACCTAATGATGCTGTTAAATATATCTTCACAATAGGATACTGGATTCTTTGCCATTGTCCATACCTATAATGTCAGGATACACTTAAATAGCAGAATGATGGACTTATGACTACTTATGAAGAGCTATACTATTGAAATAATAATATACAGGAAATCAGTAGGGAGAGGAGACTTGGGGAGGAGGTAAGGGAAATCCCATATCCTGTGGAACTTTATCATAAAATAATAAAACAAAGGAGAGAGAGAGAGAGAGAGAAGAGGAAAAAAAAAAAAAAGAAAAGAAACAGGGCCGTGGAGATGCACTGAGGTCCTGAACCACTTTTTGAAATCCTAACGTTTAACCACTTTTCGCTAAGATCCTCAGCTCTCTGATTTGTAGCATTTGACGTAGACTGCCTTGTGTCTTGTATATTTTCAGTTTCTCCTGCATTTGCACTTTGTGCTATTCACTTATACCTTCTGTTGTTATTCACATTGATGTTCGTCACTTTTGCTTATGTTTTTCTTCTAATGTGAATCATTTTTACCTTTTCGTCATAGCATTAATGGAGAAAGACTTGTATTTTTTTTTTCATAGATTCTGTGGTGTTTATTCGATTTCTTTAAATGAAATAAAATCCAGAAATACTGCATCAGTGAAACTTGGACTCATCATTTCTTATTTCTTTTAACCACTAGTAAACACTGGTCTACGTTATGTCACCAGATCTGCCT